TAAGGGGATATATTCCTGTCCTTATTCCTGCACTCTCTCTATCCCCCCTGAAGTTAATAGCTTTGTAAAGATAGTAAGGTAATTCTACAACCTCTGGATTCACTTCAAACCTGCTCTAATTCTTTCACTTATCTAATCCTCTCGTTCTAAGTCGAACCCCCCATCCTAAATGGTAAAGATGCCATATTGAAAAGCATATTCACTGCAAACATACTATGGGCTGCTTCTTGAAATTAATTTAATTCACATGAGTTAAAGGTGATACATTAATGACTACCACAAGTGGTCAGTTGGCAAGCTGTGCCTGATCCTATTGGGCTGCTGAATGTATCAATTGGGACAAAGAGTGGTGATTGATTTAAAGAGTTGTTTTCACTGATATTATGAAAATGAGGATGTCTATGAGTCATTAGAAACTCAAAAGCTAAAACGCAACTATATTAGGAAGATTTAAGTAATACCCAGAAATTAAAGGACAACCCAACAATAAAAATAAAAATGAGAAAACACTTAAGCAAGACACAAAAACAGATTTCCAGTTCTTTGTGCTATTTTAGAAGAGAAAAGAAGCATGCAATTTCATTTGAACAGAATTAGAAGATAGCCTGCTCTCTAAGTGTCCCTGTGTTATAAAGGGAGGAAGTTTCTTTTCATTCCTTGGAGATATAAACCTCTGATACCAGACATAGTGCATCGGCCACTTCTTTCCCAACTGGGAATTCAGAAATCAGAAGAACGAAGGATTCACCCCAACCTAGAGGCCAAAGAGCTTGTCTTTTAAAAGTTGGCTTGACATGAGGAGATCCACAGGCCTTTGCTAAAGGTCTGACTGTTCAAAATGTGGCTCTACTGGTGAAGCAGAAAATACAAGTTACTGTTACAAACTCTCCTTAAAAGTTGCAGAATCAAGCAAATTATTTGTCATTACTGTACTTAGAAGCTGCTTAGATGCATTTTTTGGTCTTACTGCCACTGATTTGCACAGGTGCATTCAGGATTCCAATAAAATTCCAGAAACACTGGACAGTGATACAACAGAGGACCTGTTAACCAAAGCAGTTGAAATTTGCTTTGTTGGGCAAAGCTTTATCTTTGGAGTGACAAACTTTGAAAACCAATATAGATATGGTTCAGATTCCAGTAACTTCTTACAAAGGTGTCATGACGTCAGAAGAGAACTCAGAGCACTAGTAGCTTGCCAGATCATTCTGCCAGACCCGCGCGTTTCAGGCTTCACTGTCATTGACTCTTTCCATCAGCTCTTGCAGACTTCTGATTTGGGGACACTACACTGCCACTCTCAGGAACCTAGTAGCCAGTTCCTTTCTTTAGATCACTCAAATAGTGATCTCAGCAGCATACATGATTCCGATAGTCCTTCCTATTTTTTGGAGTCTCACAGTAGAGATAATGTTTCAGATTCTGGCACCTACCACTTGAACTCACCTCCATGGTTTCACAACTAACAGATAATGATGATGTTTCATTTTCAGAAAAAAAGCATGGCCATTAGTACTCTTCACCAAAACAGAAAGTACATATCCTTTTCAAAGGCCACTGGTTCCAATGGCTGCAGTAATTCCATTCAGGATTCCTGGGGCCTTGTTTCTTATATGGACAAAAAAATGTACAACAAAAAAGTTGGGTAAAGAACTTGGCTTACAAGCTAATCGACTGAGTGTAATTCATAGCAGTCATCATGAAACTAGAATTACTACATCTAATTTATTGCCTTTGAAAATGTAAGAGCACCTTGAGTCCAGTAGTGTAGAATCCTTCCACAATGCAATAGAAATTAAAAATAAGTATTCCCAGGATACTACATTACCAGCATCATGAAGTAGACAACACCACTAGCCATCAAGAGACATATATCTGTTGTTCACCTGCATAACTCAGACCTGAAGAGGTAGCCAACAGTTCTCAGGATTTTGACCTTGTGGTTTGGGATGATCTTCCATTATCTGAAAGCCTGGACAACTTTCTGGCAATTGTTGAAAGTGGGATTGCTAAAACCCCAAGAGATGACAGGAATAAGAAACATAATATAGATAATGACATTGATAAATTTCCTGCAGACTACGGCACCAGGTTGTCTGTGTCTCCCTGGAGACCTACTGGAACACTATGTACACCACCTGTACCCTTAACCCTTAAGCAATACACAAAGCAAATCCTAGCAAGGATTACTTCTTTTCCAGCTGTGAAGCAAATCAAAGTCCTAGTACTTAAAAGGAGTCACAACCAGATAACATAGCAGATGCTGTCTCCATAAACAATAATAGAACAACAAAGGCTATCTCTGTAAGCAGTAATGGGAGAAGTGTTTCAGAATATTGTCTCCCAAACACTGTCTAATAGCTCTATTCCCATCTTCAGAAGATTTTGAAACAACTGTTACTGTAAAGCAGACTATCAAATACACCGAAAGAAAAATAAGGACATATTGAGAATAATCTAACACAAAGCTCTCCTGGTTATGAAGGTAGCTACAATGCTTCTGCTGATCTCTTTGATGATATTGCTAAAGAAACAAGCATTGCACCAGAAAAAAACAAAATATCAGAAGATATTTTGTTATAGTGGGGAACATCTTTGGTGGGAAATCATCTTGAAGAGTCTGGTTTTTCACTAAAATCAGTTTCTACAAACTCCACTCCGTCTTTACAAAAATTAACCTTGCAAAGCATGCCCACCTTTTGGTATCTAAGAACATGTTCTCCTTTGACTCATCCTCAGTCAGATTTGGAATGTGATCTTGAAGATTGCCAAGACTTCGGTCCATGTTCACAGTCAACTCCAGTTGCAGGATTCCACCACACAAGAGCTCATGGGATATGTGGAACTTTTAAAAACATTACCTGCATTTTATGCAAATCTTAACACTAACTATAAAAAATTTTCTCCTGAAAATCACAAATAGCAAGCCACTCCAAGATATCCACAAAATATAAAATTACCTAGCCAGAAATCCAGAAGCCCTGTTACATCTAGTACTACACAACCAGAGATTTTCAACCACCGTACTGTTGCTGAGGGCTTTGAAACTGCTGCTCATGAATAGGTCTCCCCTATCACAATAAAAGTGTTTCATTTAGATATGCTTGGATTCCAAGTCATAGGTTTAAGGAAATACCTTGCTGCCCATAATTCCCCTGGCCAAAAAGAAGTACCGAGAAAGAAATTGAAACATATCAAACAAATAACTGATATACATTTCATTAAGAAGAAGTTTAAAAATGTGTTTACAGCAATAGTCACAAAACAGAAAACTCCTAAATATAACTGTAAAAGTTCAGGTCAGATTTCCAAAGAATCAGTTTTGGGATTTGATTCTTTTTCCAAAAACTGTCTGCTTTCAATGTCTGAAGCAAAAAATGCTTGGTTACCTGAGTTGTTACCTGAACCCAATTCCTAGACTTTTTTTTCATTAAGTTTATCGGTACATTTAAAGCAAATAGTGCAGTTACATTTATCATTGGGGTCTTGTAACTTTACATGATATATCTCGGTTCTTGTTTTCTCCCCATACACCTGCTCTCCCTTCACCCATTTCCTAGACTTTTAAATAAAGATAAATCTCAAAACTTTTGCCGATAGTGGCAATTTTGCACACTTGAATAATAAATAGAGGAGAAGACTGTACTGGGTGCTATTGAGCTTTTAAAATGTAAAGCAATTGTTTCCTCCAGTGTTTTTTCCAAAATATTGTTATTTAGATACTTGGGCACTTTATCTTACACTGTCAATTGTACTTTAGTAATATTGTTAATTTTTCTCTTCAAAAATATTTGTTAAAATCACAGGTATACTCAGAAATAAAACCTTTGCAAACCAAAAAATAAAAAAAATTAAAGTTGTTGGGCTTAAATATTAGTAAGAACACAGACACAGAAAAGTCTCCAAGACAATTTCATGGAGATGCAAAACTTATGTTTTTAGTATGTGCCAGTAAATTCGGGAAATTTCCTTTTGAAAATTATCTAAAAAGCATGTTATCTTTTTCTCTGTTACAATTATTTTGCAATAAAAATTTAAATGAAATGATTCTCAAATTCTTGCATTTTTGTGGGATTGTACTGTGCATTTTTTGTTTTTTTTATTGAGGGTTATGCCCAGAGATTTCTCTTGTCAATACCAACTCTTTAAAATAGTACAGAAAACATGTTAAAGCAATAATTTGCACCGTATTTATATTAACAAGTTCTGCTGCATCCAAGGCCTTTTTAAGAAAGTTTTGAGCCCAGGCTGGCTTGAATGTGTGATCTTCCTGCCCTCGGACTGTCAGAGTCCTGGACTTACAGTTGTGTGCAACAATGCCCAGCTTCTGAAAACCTTGACCAGTTTGCTTCAGTGAGCCGAGCCTAAATATGGTCCTTCTTTTCCTCCCTACTCACTTTCTCCTCCATAGATTGGTAGATCCCAGATGGCGCAGCCCCAGGAGACAGTTCCATTATGTGTCCTTCTTCCCTTTCTGCGCATGCCCCAATCACTAGATAATCACGTTCAGCCTACGCCACATGGAGCACGGGGCACTAGTTACCCCACCTTCCTACACTATAAGTAAAGATTATTTATTTATAAATAAATAATAAAAATGGATGCCAGGGGCCATTAGCTCACTAGACTATGGTCTCCCCTGGTCCCAGCTATCAAGAATAATTTTGAAAAAAAAAAAAAAACAGAATAATGTTGGTCTGTTCACCATCTTTTCTTCATCTCTACCTAGCTTTGGTCTCTATGTTGTGTGGATCCTGGCAATGCTCTCTAAAATTCAGTTCCATGTAGACAAATTACATGTAAGATCAGAAGGAATCTAACAAACTAAAACTTTCCATTTAAATCTCGGTATTAGCTCATATATAAATGGAATAACCATTTCAATGTAAACTCCAAAAGGTTTATGAAAACAAGGAAAATATGTCTGTACTTTTTAGAGGCCATGTGCAAGAACCAATGCATCTATTCATTTAGAATGAGATCCAAGTTTCTAAAAGTTCTGTGAGAGACACATAAATACTACTTTAAAATAAGGAAGGTAAGGCCTTAAGAACGTAACCACTTTGTCAAGGAGTACAGTGCCAGCACTCCCAAGAATTGTGCTTCTCTGTCTGGGTTTCTTAGACAACCAGCAAGCCAAAAAACTAGGGTGGGCCCTTAATAAAAGGAAGTCAGCAAGGCTTAGCCTCCTAGGCACTTGTGACCTACTTCCCTAGAGAACTGCAGTAATTCTCAAGTCCTAAGGTTTTCAGATCTGGGCCATGAACATTCTAATCAACTCCCATAAACAACTGATATCACAGATCCAAATGGCCTGTTTATTGATATCCAAAATCCAAGTGGCCTTAGTTTTTCAAGTTTACCATTTAAACTTATCCATAACCTCACAGAAAGCTTTGGTTGTGGTGTACCATTCTGTGCAATGATGAGATACAGGTTGACTACATGCATTTATCTATTCCTGATCTTGCCTAGAAAGTTTTCTTTTTCTTCAATAAAGCCTACCGCTTATATCCATTTACCAAAAACTGATGTGGAATTTACTCCTATCTTTTGCATGACAAGCGAGAGAAGTCCTTAAACTCACTTGACACTACACTGCCTTGACACCTTGAGTGGAGAAGTCTCCAGGTTAAGTTGTTCTAAATTTCTTTTGGTTGAAAGAAAGGATTTGTAATTTGATTCTCTGAACAACAACAAAAAAATCCCACATTTGCTCAGAAACAGTCATCATTATTACATCTAGGATAGTGCCACTGCAACACTCCTGTTTTACTTTCTCTAATTGCTCTATTCTACCTCTGCAAAATAAACTGAAGTACACATAACCTAATGCTTGTTATTTCTACATCTATGTTCATCTTTTAGAAGCAAAGTGTCTTAGTTTTAAAGATTTTTTTCCCCCTTTTGCAGTACTGGAGATTCAGTCCAGGGACTCCAGCAAGGTAGGTGATCTACCTCTGAGTTACACCCCCATCTCCTAAGGAATTTTATAAGAAACTACCATATTGATTGTATGGAAAATCACCAGAACCTTTTCCTCCTCCATCTCTCATCAGGTAACTAGTTCATTAAATTTTTGTAATTGACACTGAGGTGCCTTTACAATTGCTTTCCTTCTTGGGCTGCCCACAACCTTACAGTTTATACACTTCCAGAGTTTTCAAATGCATTAATGCCCTAGTCTCTTATTATTTTATTAAACAAATATTTTCTGGGCATCTGTAATATAGCAGCTGCTATGATAGTTGCTGGGCATATACTTGAAAATAAAACTATCATAGCTATCATAGACTGGAGCTTACAGTCTAATGTAGGAGAGGAATAATAAGCAATTAGACCAGTAAATGTGTATACAATATTGAATTATAAATGTTTTATGAAGGAAAAGAAAAGAAAGAAGTAATAGAAAGAAAAGTAGAAACATCATCCCAGCCTGGTTGTTCCTCTATACCAGTGATGGCAAACCCTACAGAGACCGAGTTCCCACACCGCAACTCCAAACCCACTTATTTATCACCAAGTGCCAACACTGCAACTGAACCTGAATACTGAGGTTTTAGTTTAGAAAAAAAAAGTAACTCACACATCTTTTGTCTTAAAAGAAAAACAAATAACACCACACCATAGATTTGCTACCATTACTCTATGCTCTCATATTCTTCTTCTTGGAAACAGCTAATCAGCTATTTTTCCTGCATTGCTCCCAGTGGTACCACCTCTAACTCTGCTTCTCCTTCACACTGAGCTATTCCTGTGCTCTAAAAGCTTCCAAAAATATGTTTTAAATTAATTTATCCAGTTAGTTTTAATGGACTTGAAATCGTTTTCAAAAAATTAAATGCAACCACATTGGCAACAATTCACAAAGGAAAAGAATTTGATCTGTGAAACACCGTGGTACAATCACTGGACTTCCAAGCTTTTAATGGTCTATGAATTCACATGCACAGTCCCATCTGGAGAGAGAGCTATCAGCCAAACGGAGCCAGATACACATTCTTTTTGGAATTGATGCCGAAAAAGTAATTTCAAGCATTTAAACCCAATGTTACCTTTTAAAACATGAAGTTTGAGAGTGAAATTGCAGTGTACTAATGACTTTTCGTGTGGTTTTAACCTAAATTAATCAGAAGTGTTCTTATTGTTTGCAGATGGACTTTATAAAAATGGCTCTGTGAAGTTTTGCTTACCAATTCTGGCAGTTGGAAGCAGCATAATTTATTTGCATAGCATCCTTTATGCAAACTATATCCATTCCCCAAATGTTCCGTTGAATTAAATAAGGCAGGACTGTAGATAGAATAAATTAAAGAAAATCATAGCTTGCAAATATTGTAGAAGGAATTAATTAAAATTTGCATGGCATTTAGCCAGAAAAAGAGAGGGTAAAACTAGTAAGGATATTAGGAAAAGGAAAGAAATCTTTAGATGATATTTAGGGAAAATGGAATGTTGAAAATGATGGTGAACACCTGAAATGAATCATTATAAAAGGGGCAATATGCTATTTTACCAAAAAGAGACTAAATGGAATTCAGAGTTAGATGTGACTTCAATGTTAGATAAGTTTATACCTAAACATAAAATGGGATTTTCTTCAAAGAAATCATCACAAATTGCATTCAGCTAAAATGTCATTGTAGTATATTGTGATAGGAAGAATTTTAGTGAAATGGACTTCTGGGTTTCCTATAGCACATTCAACTTCATTTCAGAAGAATAATCATACTAATGAAAGAAAAGAATATACCGCACCTACTTAATGTGCCTAAATATGTCTAGGTTAAGTCAAAATAGTTATGTGTTCTTCCAAAACAATGCCTTAATGTTTACTACTAAGACAGTTAAGAAATTAGGTCTGTGGAATTATGAGGTCTTTGTTTAATTATGGGCTCAGGGTGATCCTTTCTATATTAAGCCTAAGTAAAAATTTCTGTTAAATAAGACATACTGAATAAATTCCTAGTCTGCTGTGAAAATGATCAAATAAATAGTTTATTATGAATAATAGCTGATTAGAGAACAATATGATAAGAGATACAAGAGTTTTGCAAAGTTTTTGAAGAGCACAGAAAGATTTCTAACGTGGTCTGGGAGGAGTCACGGTTGAATGCATGGTTCACAGAACCTTTGTAATGGGTCATAAAAGACGACCAAGAATATGACATTGGCTACGACGTTGAAGGTCTAAATAAGGATATGTGTGAAGATGCATACTACTCTATGTCCAAATACTTTCCAATCACTGGCAATGTGTGAGCTTGAGAAGTTAGAGGAGCACGGGGAATGGAACTGGAAGCCACAGATAGGTCAGAGATGGATCAGCCTCAGTTCAGGGAGACCAGAAAATTTGTCCAGGCCAAGCAGAGGTGGAGAAGGCTGGGTGGGGACTGTAGCATACTGAACATCCTGGCTTCTTTCTCAAAAGTGGCATCCCCAACCAGCTCTAGCTGTATATGACATTGTGCAAACAAAAGATTTTATTTTTAAAAAAAATTCTAGTGTTTAAATATGAGACTTAATTCAAAGTTCAGAAATAAGACTGAATCCAAAATTAGCACTTCTATGGACAAATTCCAGTTGAGTGGGCTGCCACTATGTAACCTTTGCTCTAATATATCTAAGATTAAAACATAAAATGAATTAATCCTAGTCCATGTTTACTTAATCTACTAGGTCTAGAAACCAGTCATATAACTTATCTTAGAGTTTCTTTTATCTTTTTTTTTTTTTTTTTGTACCGGGGATCGAACTCGGGTCCTTGTGCTTGCGAGGCAGGACTCCAAAGTTTCTTTTATCTTAAAGTGAAAAATGTTTGAGTTATTTGAGAGTTCCTATTAACCAGTGCAACTTTATCTTTTTGAATTTTATTCCACAGGGCAAGAATCTGCACAACTGTGTATATAACAAAATTTACAGAAAGTTTGTTAAAATCTTAATTTCCTGATATTATATCAATAACATCAGAGTCCTAGGACCCAGAAACATATCTTTCAAGTAATTCTTCCAGATTGCGAATTGACACTGGTCTAATAACCACTCTTGGCAACTTCTTATCTCGAGAATGTTTAGTGTGAGTTGAAAGATCCATCCTTTTTCCATTGCATACGCTACACATGACCTGAAGAAGAGTTTAACAAAACTCCAGGAAGCTGGAATAATCAGGCCTTAAATTTAGACCACGCTTGATAATGGGGGGCCTAAGTCTGTCTCTCTGAGTCTCTTCCATTACTCTGGCAATCATGGACAAGCAGAAAATCTGTAAGCAGAAGAGAATCAAGCACTTTAGTGTGTCAAACATCATGCTCTGGTTCTGGTGTGCAAGCTGTTTATTCAACCTCTAAAGAATGTATTCATTCTCACCAAGAACAAAAAAAACAGAAACTGTCATATTGAATTTATTATTCTATGGACTTACAGAATGTTTTCACACATCAATATTTTTGTAAAGTCCCTCCCTTGATCCAAATTCCCAATCTATCCTGCCTAGACCTCATTGAGCTGATACCTCCTCATTGGTGAAGCTATACCACAGTCCAAGTGATTCACTGCCCTACTCTCTGGTTCTCATAGCAATATGGTTGCAACAGTTTCATTGAAATTATATTTATTTCACTATCTGTTTTATGAGATCTTTAGCAGTTAAGAACACCAGTCGAAATGATAAATCCCATCGACCCTCACAGACACTAGTAATGACCTCAACTTTAAATGTGTGTAAAGACTGACAAAGCAAGGGGCTCAACCATCAATGAGTTAATTAGGAGCCAAAAATCTTTTAGTTAAATGGAATTCTATCCTGAAATTATAAATCAGATCAATCACTACCTGCTACTTTCTGTATTCCATTGTGTTAATTGGTGATGTCTAGGTCATTTGCAATATAGGTATTTCTGTCACCATAAGGTTATTATAGCATAAAGAACAAAAATCTCTATTAAAACTCATTTAATAAACTAAAGAAAAGCAACAGTCCATACCATAAAGAGCACAGATTTTGGAATGGGATACGTCTAGTTTCAAACTATTAATTTTCCACTGTGTGCCTTTGAACAAGTTAATTATCAAAAAACCTCTATTACTTGATCTGTAAAATGGAAATTATTTCACAGGGTGAAGCACTAATTAGATAACAAAATGTATAGGAAGTACCCAGCATCTTAGCTAACTCATAATAACCATTCACACCAGACTTTCATTACTATAATTTTTGTACTGAACCAATGTGCCAGGGACAAGCCCTTCGCATCATAAAGCCTGGAAGAGCTGAGGCATGAAGACAGCAGTGTGGTAGGTGATTGAGCTCAGCTTTACACGGAGGACTTCAGTAGCAGAATCACACTGGCATGCTCGAATGTGTGCTATCAAAGTATGCCTTGCAAACAAGATTTATAAGGGACTTTAACTCATTCATGTACTTTTAAGTTGGTAGGGCTGCCTTAAGTAAAAATTATATCCAAGAAACCTTAGGTGTTTACAGTCACATCGAATTACTGTGTAGTCGTGACTATTACATGGTGACTGTAGAAAAAATGCCATATCCAACAGACAGACAAAAAGCGGCCCCTACACGTCTCAGAGCCTCCCTCAGGGGCCCTGAAGGGCCCAAAGTCTGGCCATTCATTTACCTTTCAGTCCCAGAAATTTGAATGAAATGTAAAGTGCAAAAAGTTACCTGGTCTCTTACAGCCTGGTTCATAACAATCAGCTTCTCAAGAAATTAATGGAAAAGCAGACACTAGCAGATTTATTAATTTTCCATGGAAGAAGAGATGCATCCAAAAGATCTAGGGCACTCCAGTTGGGCTATTAGATATCAGGTGCTTAGGTAAGTTGAAAATAAATGTATTAGCAGAAGTTTGCTCAAAAAAAAGAATCAGAGCAAAGGAGTAGGATGCTCTTGAAGAATATTCTTTTTTTCTCATTGAGTTTTTTGGTACATTTTAGGTATACAGTACAGTTACATTCATCATTGGGATCTTATACCTTTACATGACAGGTCTTGGTTCTCATTTTTCCCCCTTACCCCTGCCCTCTCTTCACCCCCTTCTCCCCTTCCCATTTGCAAACACTTTATTTCCATTTTTTCAGTTTCTCATATTTTTTACTTTTCCCTTATTACCTTTCTCCTACCCTTCCCATTTTCTCTACACCTTTAGCCCCTTTCTTCCTATTTCACACTGTCTATTATATCATTAGGATCTTATGTACTATTATAGTTTATTCACACCAGAGACACTATTCGGTATTTACACATGTGTGTCTTATTTATTTAACTTAGGAGTATATCCTCAATATATATCCATTTTCCTATGAATGAATCTATTTTTCCTTCTTTATGGCTGAGTAGTATTCCATTTTATAGAAAAACCACATCTTCTTTATCCAGTCTCCAACTGATGGGCAAATGGGCTGTTTCCAAGTTTTAGCTATTACAAATGTGCCACTATAAACATGGGTGCGCATGTTCCAACACAGAAAAGCTCTTGATCTCTCCTTTTCCCCCAACTTGGTTTATTTTCAAGAGGTCAGACTGTGTCTTTCAGATAATGTCTCTATCTGCTTCGAAACTCTTTCTTTTTTAGACATAAGATAAGATCCCCCTTTTGTTAACAGGTTTGTGCACACTGCAGAAAATTCAGCGCCAGCTTTCTCTTGTTATAGCCTGGTCACTTCAGTAAAGCTTGGACATGGTTTATAACTCAGTCGCTTCGTTTTGGCATTAGCTTTAAGCTGTGGGTTTGTCTCTACAGGACTCTCAGACACTGTGTGCTGAATCCTCTGAGTTACTCTCACAGAGAACTGAAGCCACCTCATCTGACTCCGAAAGCCCTAATGCTCAAGGTCTCACTAGCACACATAACACACTCTCGTCGTATACTCCAGGACTAGCGACTAATTCTCTGCCGTATGACTTCGTGGGAAATGCTGCTGTCATATTTGTTACTTTGGGTTGAGTTCTCTTCAATTAGTAGATAATTTATAGAAATATTTAAATATGTTTCAGAAAGTTAAACCTATCAGCACGTGTCCAAAACTTAAATAATTATCAGTGTATAACCTTAGTGCAAACATAACATCATTATTAAAGACCTCCTGCTATGGTCAGCATACTCCACAAATCAAGTCTCTTTGAAGTGAATTTTCAAATCCTTTAACAAGTTAACTACTGCAGTACTTCATTTCCCAAGTGAAGTATTCGTTATATTAATTTTTGTGGAATTAATGAACTTTAAAGGTAGAAATTATTTTATTTGTTCTTACATTGGGAAGAATTTTGTCTATATATGGAGCTTAATAAAAGCTATCCTTGCCACTATAAACAGAGAATAGTGTGTAATCTAATTTTGCATTCGCATCATAAAAACTTATTTCTGAATAATGAATTAAATTCAGAAAAGGAAGTTTCATCATAAATCTGGATATTTGGTACATAGTTGGAACTTGAGTAATGCTAAATGGAAGCTTTACATTTGTCACTATAATACAAAGTTTTCATTATGAAAGAATTTTTATTGATTCGGGCTTGAGATTAATTTTGGGACATTTCCCCTTCAATTTCTAATTAGCAAATGGTCATGAGCAATAAGTGCTGGTAAAAGTCCTGTGCTGGTCAGACAGGCTGTGCTGGGCACTGTGGTATACACATAGTTATATATGAAGCTCAGTGTAGATTATCACCTTGATTGGTTTGGAAGACACCGAGGATAGGAGTGAATACCCTTCTGATATTAGTGAATATTAGTGAGTACCCTCTGTGGCAGGTGGGCTTGAGGGACTATATCTGATGCCTGCCTCTTCCCTTGTTCTCTCCTCCCTGGATGCTATGACTTGAGTAGCTTCTCCCCCGACCCCATCCTTCTATCATGCGAGTCCGCTGACCATAGACTGAAGCCGTGAGCCAGAATAAACCTTGTCTCCTTTGAGTCGTGTGTATCAGGTATTTTGTCACAGCAATGAAAAGCTGACCAATCCACAGGAGTTGCAGATAATTTAAATTTAAAATATGAATGTCTTTTGGTGTATTGCTTTAAAGATTTGCAAACTTAATTTGGTTGGATTGAATTCTAAAGCACAAACTTTAATTATCATCAATTTCTCAACTATTTGTAAAAATAATAAAATAAATTATAAAACTACCCAGATTTGTAATCTCTTGTGACCTGCTTGCAAATTATTTGTCAAATGAGTTGTTGGTCCTTTAATCAGTTCCAGAACTGCCGGGTTAACTATTTCAATCTGTTCAATCATATAGTCGGTAAACACGCCTGCGTAGAGCACAAACACCGTGCTGATTGCTGGGACCACAATGTGAGTGAAAGCAAACGAGAGGCCGTCTTTAGGCTGTGTGGCTCCAGGGAAGCCTGTCCTATGTCTTGGATTATTATGTCCACCTCCGCTATTGGCTATCTCCTACTTCAAAGGCTTCTATTGTTGTTTTAGGGTTGTGGGCTTTGCCTGGCAGTTGTGTTATCAACCAGTAGTTCTTACTTTTATTCCATTGTCAGAGAACCTCAAATACTTGGTGTTCTCTGAAAAAAACCAAAATTAATCTGGCATATAAAATAGGGAGAATTTTTATAGAATCATAACTATCTTATATTAAGAGATTATACAGTTATGGTCCGGAACACATGTTCCAGATATTAAAAAGCCATTGAATGAAGCAAACTTGAGAATTTTGAAAATAAACTTGAGCCAGTAAAGGAAGAGTTGAGTGTTAAAATAATGTTATTTGAGAATGCTGATGAATTAAAGAATTAATGACCATGTTGAGGTTAATAGAGGACACTTGAGAGTTGTCCTTCACTGGGGAAGAGGACATTAGCATCGCGACCATCACACTCAGCAAGTTTGTACAACGATGTATCCAGATGCTCTGCCAACCCTTGTGCACCTGACCTGTGAATGCGGCCAGCAGAATGGTCAATGAGTTTGAAGAAAAGAGGCAATGACAGGTGCACAAGGGTTAGCCATGAGCTGGCGTGGCATCGCCACCAACCACCTGCAGATCCTGGCCCTTGCCCTGGGCTCTGCCACTGATCTCAGTGGACACTCCGGTGGTTCATGCGGCCAAAATGCGTATGTACACATCCAAGCTGTTGAATGAGCTCAGTTACGTTGAATCAACCGCCACGTGAAGGTGGAGATCCTGCCTGATCCAGCTCAGAGTTCCCTATGCTGAAAACTAGATTTTCACCCAAAAAAATACTCTTCAAAAGTGTATTGAACATATTAATGACCAAAATCTTTTTCTAAATATATATAATGGGAATAACACACGTTGTAAAGTCAAAATTAATATAGCACTAAGATTCAGCTACAGTACAATCCTGAGCATTGCCTCATGTTCTTGCTAAGGCAGAATCACTTGCTGGCATCCTCTTTTTAGGCACTCTTCCCAGGAGTTGGTTTGGCTCCTACAAGGTCCATAGCTCCCTAACAAATTTTATTTTGGTTGCAAATAGTATGCAGGATAACATTTCAAGGAGCTTCTTGCCTTACCTACTAGGAAGAAAAAGAAGAAGAGGAGAGGAAGAGGAGGAGAAAGAGGAGGAGGAGGAGGAAGAGAAGGAGAAGATGGAGAAGGAGACAGAGGAAAAAGAGAGGGAGAGGAGGAGGAGGAAGAGGGAAAGAGAGAGGAGAAGGAGACGTAGTGGGAGAGGAAGAAGAGGGAGGGGAGAGGAGGAGAAAGAAGAAGATAAGATTTTGGCCCATGTACCAAGAGTCCTTAGAAAATTTCTATGGGAGACTTGTTCATTCATTTTGAAAAGACTCTATGTTGCCATTTTAAAACTTTCCAACATAAAGTACAATACTAGTGTTTTGATAAGTTATAAACTGTCTTTTTTATCCTTTCTTCTATGTTCCTTCTATTTTGTAGTGTTTCAGTATTATGCAGTTTTATACCAGACTTAAGCACAATATCATTATGTGAGGAAGGAAGGGAGGGAGGGAGGCAGGGAATGAGGAGAGAGAGAGAAAAGAAAGAGGAAAGAGGAAAGAAGGAAGGTTTTGCTATTATTTTAGCATAAAGGTTAAATGATAGCTTTCGCATTTTTCTATGGACTGGCCATGTTGACCACCTCATGAAATTTAATAAACCAGGCAGGAAAAAAAAGAAAATAAATCAACATGCTTACAATCCCTTCTTGGGTGATTGTTTTAAAGCCTTTTTAGGTTAAATAGTGACTCTTAAGTATTCATATGTTGAAGACATAATCCTCAGTACCTCAGAATGTGGCCTGATTTGGAAGTAAGGTCATTACAGATCTAATTAATTAAGATGAGGTCATACTGTAGCAGCACAGGCCCTTGATACAATATGACTGTTGTCCTAGTTAAAAAAAGGAAATTTTGTACACAGAAATGGTACAGGGAGAGCACAACATAAAGATGAAGGCAAAGGATGAAACGATATTTCCTCAAACCAAGAAATGTTTAAAAACAAAAAATGCCGGCAAACCATGGGGAGCCAGAGAGGCAGGGAGCAGATTCTAATGGGCCCCGGATGGAGCCAACCATTGAACTGCACTTCCAGTCTGCACACTTGCGAAATAGCAGATTTCTCTTGTTTAAGCCGTTCCGATTGTGGCATTTGCTTTGTCAGTCCCAGGAAATTAGCGTGCCTTCTGCGGGGTCGTTCATTGGAAACAGTCTTGTAGGAGTAGGGCACTCCCCTGTCCACCCACACTGAAACCATGCTATCTTGTTCTCCTGTGACCACATAAAACAGAAGCAGAGCCTTTCGATGTTTACCAGAGGCACGGGTCAGGCACGACAGACACTGACTGGTAGATTAATGTAAGAGACACCGTCAAGTTCAAGGATAGAGATTAAACCTGCTACTTATTTCTATCCCACAGCCTCCGGCGCGGTGAAACTTTTTCTTAGTATTCAGTCCTTGATATGACGTTAGCAACCGTCTTCAGTTGTTTAGTTTTTTTAAATAATTTGAATAATTTCCTTTTTTTTTTCTTTTAAATGTCGATAACAATAGGTAGGAAAACCAATGAATTTCTGTTCTCTTTTGAAAAGGCATTTGTGTGGTGGCCTCAGACAAGCTGGGCTTTTCCGCCATCTACTGGCCATAGAGTACTATAGCAGCCTAGAGTTTAAATTTATTTTATTTTATTTTTTTCCTCATTGAGTTTATTGGTACATTTTTGGTATTCAGTACAGTTACATTCATTATTGGGATCTTCTACTTTTACATGACAGGTCTTGGTTCTCATTTTTTTTCCTTGCCCATACCCTCCCTTCACCCCTCCTACCCTTCCCATTTACAAACACTTTATTTCCATTTTTTTCATTTTCTCATATTTTTTCTTTTCCCTTATTAGCTTTCCCCTACCATTCCCACTTTCCCTACACCTTTAGCCCCTTTCTTCCTATTTAACACTGTCTATTATATCATTAGGATCTTATGTACTATTATAGTTTATTCACACCAGAAAAACAATTCAGTATTTATACGTGTGACTTAATTTATTTCACTTAAGAGTATATCCTCAATATGCATCCATTTTCCTATGAATGCATCTACTTTCTCATTCTTTATGGCTGAGTAATATTCCATTTTATAGAAAAACTACATCTTCTTTATCCAGTTTCCAAATGATGGGCAAATGGGCTGTTTCCAAGTTTTAGCTATTACAAACTGTGCCGCTATAAACATAGGTGTGCATATATCTCTGTGATATGATTCTTTTAATTCTTTTGGAAGATACCCAGCAGAGGGATGGCTGGGTCAAATGGAACCTCTAGTCCTAGCTCTTTGAGGTATCTCCATTTGATTTTCATAGGGGTTGCACCAGTCTGCACTCCCACCAACAATGGAGAAGGGTTCCTTTCTCCCCACAACCCCGCCAACATTTGTTATTGTTTAATTTCTTGATAGCAGCCATTCTTTGTGGGGTGAGATGGAATCTTAGTGTTGTTTTCATCTGCATCTCTC